GAGAGCTGTTGGTGGCCCACCACGCCTCGGCGCGACGCGCTAACCACGTCCTGGTCCCCAGGCGCCAAAGGCCCGAGCCTTTCCAAGCCTCCCGCCCCGCGGAGCGGAGCGTCACGCTGCTCGCTTGCGGGGCATAGCCTGCCGCCAGGGCTGACGCCGCCACAAGCTAAGCAACAGCTCCCGACCGCAGTCTGGCTTCATGCTGGGCTGAGCCGGGGCGGGTCGGGCTTCGTCGTCGTCTGCTCACTTCGTCGCTTCTTCTCGCTCCCCGTCGTCTGCTTGCTTCTCGTTCCCTGTCTCCCCATCTGTCGCCGTGCACCACAGGCTGCGGGGAGCCAGCGGCTGAGCGCCACAGCCTCGATTTGACCGCGGCGAGGTCCGAGGGCTCCGCTGCGACTGCTCTTGGCCGCTTTGGTTTCCTTTTCCGGCCGTCTCGGAAGCCATCCTGGGGCCCCGTGGAAGCGTTGCAGACCATGTGAGTGACACCTCGGCCTGGACGAGATTCCACTTCGACTTGGCCCCTCAGTCGTCCCCACAAGCCCAGACCCCCGACGCCACGACTTTTTGATGACGTCGACCCCCCGGGGATCTCGGCCCATTCCCCGGGACTGGTTTTCATCCTGCGTCGTTCTTTGACGGTCCCAGGGCCCAGCGAGGGCCCCCAGGGGCCGAAAACATAAAACACACACATCCCCCGTCGTTATTTTTTCGTGACTCGAGGGGGTCTGGGAAGGCCATCCAGGCGGTGCTTCCTGTCAGGCCAGATCCGCTCAAAGTCGGTCGCTGGACGTTTCTTGGGCTCCACCTGGAGCATGCCTTCAACCTGGATCCGCTGTTTTGACGAACCCAGGGCCCGAAATGGCCCCATGAGAGGAATTCCGGCTCTGTTCTAATTCCGGCTCTGTTCTAGATCTCGTCCCGGTTGATACGTTGTAAGTGGGAATTCGTATCACTCGGCCAGTGGATTTGTTTATCGGGCTCTGAGTGTACGTAGTTGTACACGGAGTTCGATCTCAGGGGGACAAACAAAAAAAGAAATGGCCCCATGAGAGGGAAATTTTCCAAAAACCTTCTGAAGAACGCGGCGTCTCCACCTCCGCCCCCCCGTTCTGCTGGCCGGAACCCGTACCGGGCCTGCTGAGACCCCCAGACACGGCTCCAGTCCTGAGGTGCCCCGCGAGCTGCCGGAGGCGACGACGGCGGCGACGCAAACGACGGGGGGGGGGAGGAGGGCAGGGCGGAGGGGGAGAGCCAGGGAGGGGGGAGGAATAAAACGACGCGAAGATCGGGACAACATCGGATCGGGATAACTCGAAATCTCTGAGAATCGGCGGGTTTGGAGGATGTATTGGGCGCCGCGGCCGCTCCAGAGCGTTCCGGAACGCTCTGAGAGCGCTCCGGAACGCTCTGGAGCGATTTATCCCGATCCTAGCCCTGTTTTAAGGATATGGGGGGGAGGAGCCGGAGGAGAGGGACGGGGCGGAGGTGGAGTGAGAGTTGGAGTGGTGAGTCCAGCAAAGGCGCGTGTCGGGAGGATTTCGAGCCGCGCGAAGATTGAGAGACGCCGAGAGCACTGCCTTTGCGGGGAGAGCCTTTCGGCCACCGAACCGAGTGGATCAGAGCAGGGATGCTCGCGCGTAGAGCTCGATGAGGGGTGGAGGGGGATGGAGGAGGGGGGGCGGTGCGTGGAAAGATGACATGGGCGGCGGAGGCTGTATTTGATGTTATTTCTCAGTCCGGTTTCTGGGTTTCTGTGTTTCTTCTTCCATTTTTTTTTTCTCTTTTATCTTTTATCTTTTTACCTTCCTTCTCGCCTTCGCCTCTACTTTTTTATATTTAGCCAGCCCCGAGACCTCCGCGGGAGGTGTCCCGCCAGCTGCTGGAGGAGAAGATGGGCGGCCCCGCCGCCGCCGCCGCGGGCTCGGAGCCCTCGAGCCCGCGGGCCCTGGCGGCCGCGGCCGACATCCGGGGCCTGGCGCCGCGCGCGCCGCTGTGGCGGCGGGAGGTGCGGCTGAAGAACCTGCCGGTGCTCCCAGAGGCGGAGCTCAGGACCTCAGAGGGGGAAGAGGTACCCCATGCCCAGAAAAGCCTCCAGGCGACCTCGAAGACCGAGGAGCTTGAGACAAAGCAGGGAATTCCAGAGATTCCTTTTTTTTCAAGTCGGGACTCCTGGTCCCTAGTCTCTTCCTCGAGCCCCATCAAGACTTCGGGGTCACATGCAAAGATGTTTCGGGAATGCTGTTGAACTCTCTAACGCTGTCTTGGCACTCTCTTGGATCGTATTCGTGTCCTCTTGGCTGCCCCGGAAACCACCGTAGAAATCGAGATCCCATGATCCCATGAGTTGAACAATAAATGCCATCATTTTTTTCCAAACTCACCCCATGCCTATTTGTGCACGAAGACCACGAGAGGCATCCCAACATACCGTGGCCTGCATCCAGAAACTTCTAACCCACAGCCCAGGCATGGCACCTTGAAGAAAAGAGGAATCCCACAATTCCTTTACGGCCCCCCTTAGCTCCCAGAGAAGAAGCCAGGAAGTTTCTGAGGGCCTCAAATCGTTGAATACCGAACGGGGATTAATGATTTCTGCGTTTCCGCAGTTCCCCTTCTATACGATTCCGAGGCTTAGGCAGGGCCTCCAAGAGAGCCCCTGGATGCAAGAAACGACCAACATTAGAATCCATGAGCTAGCCCATCAAACCTAGCTAGAACTTGAGCGCGCGCGAAGCGCGCGATGGTTCTAGTATGTATAAATGAATGTATGGTTGTATTTGTTCATGTGTACAAGTGTGTATGTGTGTATGTGTGTATGTGTGTATGTATACGGTGGGGGCGTTCGTTAAGGAATGTGCCAAGGAGGCTGCATACTCTGGAGGGTACCTTATCTACTGAGAGCGGCGGTGAATCCATGGCCGATCCACGATTGGAGATTCCACGGGCTTCCAGACTCTGGATTCCTTATACAATGCTTCCTTATCCAATGCCCCCCACCGTATGTTCCCCAATCAGAGCTTGCTTCTGTAGGGGTCCTAGCGGATATAAAGCTGAGGTGAGCGGCCGATTTCGGTGGCCGGGGCCGGGTGTCCGGGTGCCCAGGGGTGCCCGGGTGGCCGATTTCGGTGGCCGGGCCAGGGTGCCCAGGTGCCTGGGTGCCCGGGGGTGCCCGGGTGCTCGGGGGTGCCCGGGTGCCCGGGGGTGCCCAATAGCCCAATAGCCCAGTAGCCCTATAGCCCTATAGCCCTATAGCCGTATAGCCCTATAGCCCTGTAGCCCTATAGCCTTATATCCCTATAGCCCTAATAGCCGTATATCCCTATAGCCCTATAGCCCCATAGCCCATATAGCTCTATAGCCCCATAGCCCTATAGCCCTATGGCCCCATAGGTCACAGTCCTATAGCCCTATAGCCCGATAGCCCTACAGCCCGATAGCCGTATAGCCCTATAGCCCAATAGCCCTATAGCCCTATAGCCCTAACAAAAATCTGATTGGTTTTTTTCTCCGGTATCATGTGTGTATGTATGTTTGTATGTTAATCTACATCTAACGGGGGACCGGGTCCGGGGGCCAGGGGCCGGGACCCCGACCGCAGATGTGGGGCCCGGGGCCCGGGCCCGCCTCTGGGATGCTTAAAATCGCCTTGGGGAGCCCTCAGACAGCAATCCTGGCGGCCCCAGGCGGTCTCGAGACACCCCCAAGGCGCCGTCCAGGGGTCTCCGGCGACGCACGACGGGTTTTAACTGCCCCAGAGGCCCCCAAGACGCCCCAAGAGGCCTTTAAGATGCCGCCCAAGAGCGCCCCGAGAGGGCAAAATCGTTGATTTCCATTGTTTATGTTCCAATGTTTTTTGTATTCTCGCTGTTTCGTGTTTCCGGCGCTAAAGCACCGTCCAAGAGGCTCCCAAAACCGCTCCAAGACGGCCCAAGAGGCCCCCAAGAGGGCCCCAAGACGGCCCGAGAGAGCCCCGAGACGGCCCCAGAGCCGCCCAAGACGGCGCAAGAGGGTCCCAAGAAGGCTCCAAGAGGGGCAAAAAAGAGGGAACGCGAACTGAAAAATCAAGCTCTCCGCCCCAAGATGCCCCCAAGATGCCCCAAGATGCCCCCAGGAAGCACCCAAGAGGCCCCAAGAGGCCCAGAAGAGGCCCCAAGAGGCCCCCAAGAAGCCCAAAAGAGGTTTCAAGAGGCCCCAAGACGGCACCCAAAAGGATTCAAAGCTCTTTCTAAGAGGCCCCCAAAGACATGCCAAGGAGGTCCCATGACGACTTCAAGAAGCAGTCCAGGATGCTCCGAGGAGGCCCCGAGAAGCTAGCTAGAACTTGAGCGCGCGCGAAGCGTGCGCGATGGTTCTAGTGTATATATGTATGCATGTATGCATGCATACATGTATGTATGTATGTATGAAATTAATGTAATGAAATGTGATGCAATGTAATGTATTGCAATGTAATGTAATGTAAGGTAATGTAATGTAATGTAATGTAACGTAATGTAACGTAATGTAATGTAATGTGATGTAATGTGATGTAATGTAACGTAACATAATGTAATGTAATGTAATATATTGTAATGCAATGTCTTGTAATGTAATGTAATGTAATGTAATGTAATGCATTGTAATGTAATGTAATGTAATGTAATGTAATGTAATGTAATGTAATGTAATGTAATGTAATGTAATGTATGTATGCATGCATGCATGCATGCATGCATATGTATGTATGCATATATATGTATATATGTATATATGTATGTATATATATATGTATATATTTATATGTATTTGCACACAGCTATATAGTTATATATCTATCTATCTATCTATCTATCTATCTATCTATCTATCTATCTATCTATATATCTATCGATATATATATATATATATATATATATATATCTATGTATACCTATCTATCTATCTATCTATCTATCTATCTATCCATCTATCTATATATCTATCTATCTATATATAAATCTATCTATATATCTATCTATCTATCTATCTATCTATCTATCTATCTATCTATCTATCTATCTATCTATCTATCTTATCTATCTATCTATCTATCTATCTATCTATCTATATATCTATCTATCTATCTATCTATCTATCTATCTATCTATCTATCTATCTATCTCTCTCTCTCTATATATATATATAGATATTCATATCCCTGGGGGGCAGGCCCGGGGCCCACAAACAGCTGCCCCGACCCCACATGGGGGGACGGGATGGCCGGGGAGGTCCAAAATAGTCCAGGAGGGCCTCCAGAGGCTCCCCAGACGGCCCAAGCGGGCCCCGAGTCGCCGAAAGACCGCTCCTGGACGCCCAAGATAGGCCCAAGACGGCCCGAGAAACTCCCCTAAGGCACTCCACGACGCTTCAAGACGCCTCTCCCGAGCGCTTCAAGAGACCCAAATCGTCAATTTTACAGAGGTTTTGGAGAGATTTCGGCCTTCCAGCCTTTTCGGCTGTCCGACGTTCCAGGCCGGCTCCATAGACGGCCCCAAGATGCGCCCAAGAGGGGGACCACGACTCCAAAATTCGACCCTCCTGCTTGAAGAGTGCCCCAGGAGGCCCCAAGGAGCCCCTCAGAGGCCCCAGGAGGCCCCCGAGAGGCACCCAGGAGACCCACACATGGCCTCAAGAGGCCACGAAACAGCCCCGAGGAGGTCCCACAACGGTCTCAACATGGCTACCGAGAAGCTGCGAAACTGCCTTCACGACGTCCCCGACAGGCCAACCACGATATCCAAACCAACACCCATGAGGCCTCTGACCCACCACCTAGGGCACCCGCCGCCCGCCCGCCGTCCGCGTAGCACGCACTACTCTGTACTCAACAGCTTCAGTCTCCAAGACAACACCCTGTAGTCAACAGCCCCCGTCTTCAAGGCAACACCCTGTACTCAACAAGCTCCCGCTGCAAGAGAGCACCCTTAAGGAATTCATTCAAATTCCGACCCGCCCGCGCGCCCGCCCGCCACCCGCCCGAACCGCCGCCCGCCCGGCCGCTCGCCCGCCTTCCGCATAGCACGCGCCACCTTGCACTCAACAACCTCCGCCTCCAAGACAACACCTAGCATTCAACAGCCCCCAGAGCTCCCGGGACTGCCCGGGCCCGCTCCCAAACACGCCGCGACACGCCAAGAGGGCCCTAAAGATTGCCAAGACAGCCCCAAGAGGCCCCGGACACGCCGAAGATGGCCTCAGGACGGCCGACGACGCCGCCAAAACGTCCCAAGAGCGCCTCCAGAGGCCCCTCCAAAGGGCCCCGCATATTTGCGCTCTCGCATGTTCCGCCTCTCTACGGTCCCGGACGGCGTCAGAGGCCCTTCAGATCGCTCCAAGACGGCCGAAGAGGCCCCCAAGGAAAGACCAGAGACGGCCCAGGAGGCTCCCCAGATAATTCAAGAGGGCCTCGAGAGCGCCCCAAGAGAGCCCCAAGAGCGACCCAAGAGGGCCCGAAGAGCGCGACATTTCAAGGTCTCCGGCCTTAGAGGCTCCCAGGACGCCGCCCCCCGGAAGCCCCAATAAGCCCCCAAGGGCCCCCCAGGGAAGCCCCCTGCGGGCCCCCAATAGACCTCGGTAAATCGTATTTCCCAGAGCTTTCCAGGAACATGATTCCTTGGGCTACCGCCCACCGCCCAAACCATGTTTCCAATAGGCTTGCCGACAAGGCCAAAAAGGGCCCCTCGGTAAGCCCCCAGAGCCCCCCTCTTAAGAGAGCCGAACAAATCATTCTCCCGGAAAGCTTCCCGGGAACATGATTCTCGGGTTGCCGCCCTCTCCCCAAACCATGTTTGTAAACGCCTGCCAGGATAAAAAAGCGAGAGTCCCAAGTAGCGCTACCTGCCGCCACGCTCGGAAACGCGTCAGGCCCCGAAGCCTCCGTAGGCGCCTAACAACACCCCAACAAATCATGTTCCCAGGAAGTCTTACGGCCAGTGCCTCCGACGTTGAAGGAGGACGGTCCAGGACACCCAGAAATCTTCTAAACAGGCTTCCAAGAGGGCGCCGAGACAGCCCAGGGCCGCCCCCAGACGGCCCAAGAAAGTCCGAACACAGACAAAAAGGGCCGCAAGAGGCCCCCAAGAGGCCCCGAAACGAGGACATATCGTTCGAACACGCCCAAGATGGCGTCCGGACGGCCCACAAGGCCTCCAACACGGCCCAAAGGGACGCCCAAATCATTGCTTGTCCTTAGGTTTTTGATGGATTTCAGACACCCAATGTCGCCCCAATAGGCCCCCACGAGGGCGCCGAGACGGCCCAGGGACGCCCTGCCGCGGGCACGAGGCGGGGCCCGGGACGGGGCCCTCGCACCGGGGGGCCCGGGGGCCCTGCCGTGGCGCTGGGGGCCTTGTAAAGTCGCCCGAAGACGGCCCTGGCTTTTCCAGACAACGAAAACGACCAATGACCGCCCGAGATCACCCCAGAATTGGTCCCTGACTGTCCGAGAGGCCTCCAAGACGCCCCAAGAGGTCTCCAAGATGGCTCCCAAGGAGCCACAGGAGGCACAACTAATTTGTTTTCCTTTGGTTTTTGATCGATTCTCGAGTTCTCGCCTTTGGAGTTTCCTGACGCTCCACGACGGCCCAAGAGGCTTTAATTTCCGCTCCAAGGCATCCCCAGAGGCCTCGAAGATGGTCACAAGACGGCCCACGGGGGTCCCAAGACGGCGCCAGAGGCGCCCAAGGCGGCCCGAGAGGGCCCCAGGACGGCCCCAAGATGGAGTTAAGAGGGTTGACACGAACCGAAAACGAGTCTTCCACCCCGAGAGGCTCTCAGGAGGCCCCGAGAAGTCACTAACAGGCTCCAAGAGGCCCCAACAAGCCCCACAGGGGGCCGAAGATTATCCAAGAGGTCTCCCACAAAGGCCCCAAGAGGCAAACATCCATGTCATGCTATAGGTTTTTGATTGATGTTCGAGTTTTCAGAGATTTGGGCGTCCTGACGCTCCAAGACGGCCCAAAAGGCCTCCAAGACCAATCCAAGATAGCCCAAGAGGCCTCCAATAGGGCCCAAGACAGCCCGAGAGGGCACCAATACGGCCCCAAGGGGGGCCCAAGATGGGTAAGACGAACCGAAAATCCGAGCCTTCCACCCCGAGAGGCTCTCAGGAAGCCCCAGGGGCCCCCAAACGGGACCCAAGAGGCCCTCAAGAAGCTCCCCAGAAGGTCGAAGAGGTTCCAAGAAGCATTGTTTTCCCATCGGCTTTTGATAGATTTTAGACGTCCCAGCCTTTTGGCATCCTGACGCTCCAAGACGGCCCAAGTGGCCCCCACTGCCGCTCCAAGATAGCCGAAGAGGCCTCCAAGAGGGCCCCAAGACAGCCCACGAGGGCCCCAAGACGGTGCCCGAGGCGCCCAAGACGGCCCGAGAGGGCCCCAAGAGGGCCCCAAGAGAGTCCCAAAAAGGGGAACGAGAACCCAACAGCAGAGCTTTCCGCCTTAAGAGGTCCACAGGAGGCCCCAAGAGTCCCCAACTGGTCCGACGAGGCCCCCCAATGCCCCCCTACCAGGCCCCCAAAGGCTTACAGGATACGTACACGGGGCCCCAAGATAGCTGAACAGTGTTCTCGATGCGTCAAAATTGCTTCAAGGAGGCCCCAGGAGGCTTCCAGATTGCCCCAATGTGGCCTCAAGCCGGGCCTCCACGCAGCCAAGACAGCAAATTGACTGCTTCAGACTGCAGAGCATCACTTTCCGACTGCCCGGAGAACCCTGACGATGCCCCCAAGGGACCCCAAGAAGCCCCAAGATGCTTCCCCGAGAAGCACCCAAGAAGTGCCTCCAACAGCCAATTGAGGAAGCACGGAGAACCCCCCAGAAGCCCTTCAGATGCCCCCACGAAGACCCAAGAGGTTCCCAAGAGGCCCTCAGGAGGCACGACTATGTCACGCGCCTGTGCTTGCTAGCGCTGTCCAAGATCTTCTAGCGCGCCCCCAGCCTGGGCTAGAACCTGGGCGCGCGCGAAGCGCGCGCGATGGTTTTATAATATATATATATACATGCATGCATGTGTGTATACATGTATATGTGTAGGTATGGAGGCCTGTCTGTTTGTCTGCCTGTCTGTATGCATGTATGTATGGCTGTATGTATGAACGTATGCATGCATGCATGCATCTATGTGTGTGTAGGTCGACTTGTATGTATGTATGTCTGTATGTATGCGTTCATGCATGCCTGCATGCATGGATGAATGCGTGTGTGTATGTATGCATGCATGCATGCATGCATGTATGTATGCATGTGTGTATACATGTCTGCCTGTCTGTCTGCCTGTATGTATGCATGTATGTATGTATTAATGTATGTATGTATGCATGCATGCATGTATGTTTGTATGTATGTGATGTGTATATATATATATATATATATATAGGTATGTCGGCCTGTCTATCTGTATGTCTGTATGTATGCATGTATGTGTATGTGCATGTGTATGTATATGTGTATGCGTATATGTATGCGTATGTACATTTGTATGTACAGGTGCATTTGTATGTGTATGTGTGTGTATGTATGTAGGTCTGTCTGTCTGTCTGTCTGTCTGTATGTATGTCTGCCTGTATGTACATGTATGTATGTATGCATGCATGCATGTATGTATGTATGTATGCATGTATGCATGTATGTGTGTATGTCTGTCTGTCTGTCTGTCTGTCTGTCTGTCTGTCTGTCTGTCTGTCTGTATGTATGTATGTATGTATGTATGTATGTATGTGTGTATGCATGCATGCATGCATGCATGTATGTAGATAGGTATGTATGTACATGTGTATCTGTTCAGATATGCCTGTTTGTATGTATGTATGTATGTATGTATGTATGTATGTGTGTATGTATATATGTATGTATGTATGTATGTATGTATGGCTGTATGTATGTATGTATGTTTGTATGTATGTATGTCTGTATGTGTATGCATGCATGCATACATGCATGTATGTATGGATGTATGTACGTATGTATGCATACATGATTGTATCTACTTATGTATGTATGTACGTACTTATGTATGCACCCATGTATGCATGTATGTAGATAGGTAGGAGAGAGCGTGATTCACCGCCGCTTTACTGTGGAAGATTCCCCACTCTTGCTCCGTAAGCCCAGGGCCCCACCCCCTTCCGAAAATCTCCCCCCCCTGCTGGAAACCCCCCGCCCCCCCCCCCACCCCCCTATCCCCCGGCAAACCCCCCTCCCCCCTCTCCTCTCAAAACTCCCCCAAAAAATGGGGGGGTCACTACAGTTCGAACCCCCTCCCATCCGGGAAAAACCGTGAGGGGTCACTACCGCTTCGAACAAACCCCCCTCCCCAGAAATCCGGTCGAACCCCCCCCAGAAAGCCGAGGGGGGTCACTACTGGTTCGAACCCCCCCCCCCCTCCAGAAAACCGGGGGTTTTCACTACCGGTTCAAACCCTTCTTCCCTTCCCACGCTCACCGCCAGCAAACGATTCCCGGGTCCCTACCACCGTTCGCACCACATCCCCCACCGGCTGTCCCCAGCACCACTGTCCTCACCACCACTGTCCCCACTGTTCCCACCACCGTCCCCACTGTCCCCACCAGTGCCCCCACCACTGTCCCACTGCTCCCACTGCCCCCACCACTGCTCCCACCACGGTCCCACTCTCCCCACTTTCCCCACGGCCCCAACCACTGTCCCACTGTCCCCACTATCCCACTGTCCCACTGTCCCCGCCGCTGTCCCACTGAGCTGTCCCACTGTTCCCACCACTGTCCCCACCACTGTCCCCACTGTACCTCTGTCCCATTGTCCCACCGCCGTCCTTGCCACCGCCCTCGCCATCACCACTGTCCCCACCACCACTGTCCCCATCACTGTCCCACTGTCCCCACCACATTCCCACTGTCCCCACACCACTGTCCCCACCACCACCGTCCCCACCACTGTCCCACAGTCCCCACCACTGTCCCACAGTCCCCACTGTTCCCACCATTGTCCCCGCTGTCCCCACCAGTGCCCCCACCGGTGTCTCACTGTCACCACCCTCCCCAGCATTGTCCCACCACGGTCCCGCTCTCCCCACTTTCCCCACGGTCCCCACCACTGTCCCTCTGTCCCCACTGTACCCACCACTGTCCCACTGTCCCCGCCGCTGTCCCACTGCTTTCCCACCGTCCCCACTGTCCCCACCACTGTCCCACTGTCCCCACTGTCCCCACCAGTCTCCCCACTGTACTACTGTCCCACCACGGTCTTCACCACCGCCTTTACCACTGTCCCCACCACTACTGTCCCCATCACCGTCCCGCTGTCCCCTCGCCACTGTCCCCACTACCACCGTCCCCACCACTGTCCGCACCACTGTCCCACTGTCCCCGCACCACTGTTCCCACCACCACCATTCCAACCACCGTCCCAGTATCCCCACCATTGTCCAACTGTCCCGAGGAGCGGGAATCGTTTGCCGGCGGCGGGGGGGGGTTCGAACCGGTAGTGACCCCCCCCCCGGTTTTCGAGGGGGGGGGCGAGGGGCGGGGGGGGTTCGAACCAGTAGTGACCCCCCCCCTTTTCATGATGGACTGGGGGGGGGGGGACGGGTTGTGAACCCCCAGTGAACCCCCCTCGGTTTTCTGCCAGCAGCGGTAGAACACGCTCTTTCGTAGGTAGGAAGGTAGGAAGGTAGGAAGGTAGATAGGTAGGTCGATAGTTCTGTGTGTGTGTGTGTGTGTGTGTGTGTGTGTGTGTGTGTGTGTGTGTGTGTATACGCGCATCTATTTGGTACACTTTCTATATCTCTCGCTATATATTATATATACAGATAAGTGTGTATATACATGTATATATATATACACAGCATGCACCTGTCACGGCACTTGGCCCCGCCACGGCGCCCTCAGCACGCAGCGCGAGGGCCGCCCCTGCGTGCCGCCTCAGGACCCTCGTCCTCGCCGAGCTGGAGCGGGTCTGGCGCACCGCGCGCGCCGCCGGCCTGCCCGCGGTGGACGAGCTGCGCCTGGGCGCCGAGGGCGGGCGACACCCCGGCGGCGCCGGGGACGCGCCCGCGTCGTGGGCGCAGGCCGCGGGCGACGAGACCTAGACAGAGTCGGGCCGAACGAAAGGGGGGGATAGGGAAAGGGGGGGGGGTACGAAATCTGCCGCATGCAGCTGGTTTCGGCCCGGCCGCTGGGCCCATCCCTCGATACACGGGCGCCTCCCGGCGCCGGGAGGCGCCGGGAGAATCAGCCACGTGAGCTGCTTCTCACCCCCACCTTTGCTATCCCCCCCTTGAGCCCGGCCCGACGGATCCACTGCTCCTTGGCCGGGCCCATCCCGAACCCACCCAGGAGCTGTGCAGGCGCCCTCCCGGCTTGGCCAGGGAGGCGTGGCGTGTACAGTCGGGGCCCTGAAGAAGGAACCCTTTTGGTTGGGGAGGGGCTCCGCGTTCCTTAAGTGTTTCACAGCTTGCCTCGGGCTTTCTTTAGGTTTTCGATAGGAAATCGAAGTTTAACTTATGGAAAAAAGGGGCCTCGCTCCTTATTTAGGGTTCCTTGGGTCAACGCCCCGACTGTATGCGCCGCTGCTGGGTGCCGGCTTGGCCCGGCCAGGGAGCAGCGGACGTGCACAGCTTTCGTTGCCCTATAAGGCGGCGCAGCGGGCGGCCGGCACGGAGGCCTTCGGTCGTCGTCGTCGTCGTCGTCGTCGTCGTCGTCGTCGTCGTCGTCGTCGTCGTCGTTTTTGTCGTCGCCGTCGTGGCTGTCGTCGTCGTCGTCGTCGTCGTCGTCGTCGTCGTCGTCGTCATCGTCGTCGTCGTCGTCGTCGTCGTCGTCGTCGACGTCGTCGTCGTCGCACCAAGCGCGTGCCACTACTCGCAGACGTCCGAAAAACAACGCATCTGCGCATCGATGTGAGGTATCGCAAATCCCCCATGGCGGATCTAGGCCATTTGCGAGTATTTACTCCTTGCGAGTCGTGGAGCGCGCTTGTAAGTTGTATATCTTCCTGATTACCTGATTACCTGATGGAAGGTCCTGCAGACGTCGCCCACCCCCCCAGGGCCTGTGGGCTGCGGGGGAGGATCAAACCAGGAGCTAGGCGACTCCTGCTGGAGCGATCGCTCCAGGAGTCGTCGGCTGGTTGGGATGATGCAGGAGGTAAAGGCAGACAGACGGAAGGAGGAAGGAGGAAGAAGAACGAGGGCTTAAAATCCTCCTCATCGCACTGGCACGCTTCTGGCGTGTCTGCTTTCTGGCTCGTTGGAGTGCCCTGTCTTGCCTGTTCGCTGTTGGGCGCCTGGCGGCGTGCGTGCGTGCGTTGCATGCCCCCGTAACCCTGTCTTTAGAGTGCGTGAGCGTCGATTCGCACCTGGTAGTCGACGAGGTAGCGCCGATTTCGCGCCGATTTCGCGTCGAGTGGCGTCGACTGGCGTCGTTTCAGCGTCGGTCAGCTTCGATTCGCGTCGGCACGCAAGCGCCAACAGGATGGCATGGGAGGCTCCCATAAGTTGCCGCAGAAGAGTCAGGAGGGAAAACAACACACAGACACAAGTCATCGTCGACCCCCCAGGAAGATATGGGAAAAGATGGGGAGAGGGGTGGGGGAAGACGAAAGCCCAGAAAGCATGAGGAAACATGGGGGACCCTGGGATTTGTGTGCATCTATCTGTGTGTCCCTGGGCCCCTTCAGGCCACGGTCGTCTTCGCCGACGCGGACGACGCGTCGTGGCTTGTGGACGGGCGGGCGGGCTCCTCGTGGGCCGGCCCGGAGATCGGATGAGGAACAGGCATCGGAGGGCCCGAGGTTGGCGCCGACACCGGTGTCGGCGGTCTGCTGCCACCGGGCGCAGACGATCCCGATCTCGGCGACGGCGGTGATGTTCCTCGAGAGCTTGGCGTCTCAGTGTTCTCGAGCCAGGCGCTTTCGCTTTTTCTCGGGCCCCGAGGCCCTCACAGATCGATCGGGCTCGAAAAATGACGCAGAAAGATGGGGTCTAGGCTTCGGGCGCGATTTCTCACGGCGTCCCAAGTTTTTTCCTGAGACGTCGGATCTCAGGGCCCGGGCTTCCTGGGGCGCCGAGAATGGCCACCAGCACCGAGATCTCGGGTCATCTCCCCCCGGTGGAGGCGACCCCCTGGTGTGGGTGTTTTGGTGCCGATTTCCAAGCCTCCAAAGGTACTCCGGATTCCATAACAGAGTGGGGGGGGTCACATTCGGGGGGGGTGTCTAATTTGAGCTGTCTTGGAGGGTTCGGGGGGGGGGTCTGGGCAAAGGGCCGCCCTTTCATGGCTAGTCTGGGGGGGTCTAAAACTTCTTGTCTGGGAGCGTCGTGACCCCCTCCCTTTTATTAATCGCTTCGCTCATGCCGCCGGCCCTGGAGCCCTCTTTAGGGCCTCTTGGGGGCCTCTTGGGGACCTCTTGGGAGTCTCTTGGGGCTCCTTGGCGGCGTTTTGGAGGCCCCCAGGGCCTCTTGGGGGGCTCTTGTCTGGGAGCGTTGTGACCCCCTCCCTTTTATTTACGAAATCTGGAGTACCGATGCCGCTGCCCATGCCTCGCTTTCGCATGTGGGCCTCCTGGGAGGCTCCCGCCGCTGCGTTTCGGGTGCGCCCCGAGCTCCCGGTCGGAGCGCACGCACCCTGGGCGAGGCCCGTGGCGTAGCGGCGTGGATGCAGTTTGGGTCTCCCCACTTGGCATCGCTCGGACGTGTGCGTTTTTTCCTCGGCGAGGACCATCGAGGAGCATCCTTGACCCATTGGCGGAAAAACCACGCACGAAACCGAACAAAAAAACACAGGGAACGGACGTCCGAGCGATGGCGAGCCCAGGAGATCGGCAACGCGTGAGAGTGTCTCTTCGCCACAGTGACTTTTTGGGTGCGGTCGCACAAAAAATAAAATATACTTCCAAAATAGTCAAAAATGGTCCAAACATAGGGACTATGCTTTGAGTATGTTTGATTTTTATGTGTTGTTGTTGTTGCTGCTGTTGTTGTTGTTGGTGTTGGTGTTGGTGTTGTTGTTGT